GTGAAAAAAAGTCAAATCTGAGACTAGGCGTCAGTCATGGTAACTCATGCTCTCATGGTAGATTTTGCTGGGTAGGAGACTGGAGAGTGAGAAGACAAGGTGTTCACCTACACACAGCTCCTAAGCCTGTGGTCGCCCAACCTCCAGCAGCCTTGTCTGGATATGCCATGTGTCCATGTGTGCTGGACTATGGAGAAGGGTGGGAACATGGTGTGTTTGGAAGGAGAAGCCCTGAGCTTTTTCAGAGACAGGTTACAGGACATGGTAGTGAGCTTGCAATGTTTCCCGGTAGAAAGGTAGAAAGTTCAGTAAACAGTGAGATGAGGAAGATGAGTTAGACAAACAAATACCCAGCGATGAAGGGAGGTGGGGCTCTCTTAATGAACTCAAGAAAAACTAGGTCAGGCTGACAGGAAATTTGGAAGATACCCCCTTCCTTGCTAATATTTGGAACAGTAACCTTATTTTCTATCATTTTGTGAAGTTGTCCAAAGATAACATCATTTGGGGAAGATGTTCCCAACTTAATAGGATGAGCCACTCTTTCTCATTGTGGAGCCATGGACCATATGTTACCTGGACTTACAATTTTAGCTGACTACAACCAGGTCGTAAATCTCAAGTGAGTGCCACCTGATTGAGGGACATGGCTTGAAGCTACACTGCCCAGTTTATAGTGTCTTTCACAATAACAGTCCTTTGAGGTGTGGCACTGGTGCTGGTAGGAGGTTGGTTTCCACTTGCGAGGGTTGTCTAACCAGTGCTATCATTTCATAACTACGTGAAAATTTGTGTGTGGAAATCCGAGAGAGCTGATAGCATGTTGTTGGTTTACTCCGGTCATGGTCTGTGCTTTTTATAGACCATCACTCCTGGGCAGCAGGCCATGTGGCTTAGTTCAACCTTACTTTGACCCTGGCCTATAGCATGGACTTGGCATCACCTGAGTTCAGGGGCTGGGTCTGTCACTCATTAGCTTTTTGAGCATGGGGAAGATATTTATCATCTCTAAGTCACAAATGCAAATCAGAGATATGTGGATAAAAATGTAGTCTGTGTCATGGTGTTGCTGTGAAGGCTAAATCAGTAATGAGTGTCAAGGAGAGGTTAATACATGCTCGTCCTTTGTACTACTCTAACAATAAGAAGCATTGTAGATGCAATAATAAGAAAATCACATCTATGATTATATATTATATATACATATATACATACACATGTATATCGTTGTATCCACATACAGGTACATGTGTATATATACTATCAGATACTGAATAAAAATATAAAAATCAAAGAGTCATATGGCCAACTGGTACCTAGTGAGGGATCCAGAAAGGAAACGTCCCGCAATAAGAAAGTGATGAAGATTGAAGGGGTGGGGGATGATGATCCCTGGAACTCTGACAACCAATGAGATGAGACTTGCAGATTAAATAGTCTAGACACATATAGGACCCATCTTAGTCAGAATTCCTAACACTAGATGTTGGTAAAAATAGTATTTATAATGCTGTTTTAATAGTCACAGCTGCTGTGTTCGCTTCTCTGTAAAGTCTCAGACATTTCATTTCTCTTGCCTTCATTCCTCTTCCCTACCTCCTTCTCTTCTGACTATGTCTTTAGCCCAGGCTGGCTTTGGACTCTCCATGTATCCCAAGATAATCGTGAAGGGCTCCTTCTGTCTCCAGAATGTGGACTGTTGGGATGATAGGCTTGCAACAGTACACCTGATCTGTGTGGTGCTGGAGATTCATCCCAGTGTCTAGTGAATGGTGAGCAAGCACTCTACTAGGTTGGAAAGCATTCTGAGTTGATATCAACTGAACTCATGAAGAAAAGTTGGCTATCTAGAGGCATATAGATCACTTGGCATTCCAGGTTATTCTTGGGCTGATCTTTGATGTTCACTGGTGATACAAAAATAAGAATTCCTCTCTAATAAGCTTCACAGAGATTCCTGCAGAGGCAGAAGGCATTCGGGGAAGAGATGCCGTTCCTTACTGTTCTAAAGGTGGATGTTTTGGGTGAGCTTGAGGATGTCTCTTTTCAGTTTTAGGAATGATTGAGCAAACATTGCAGATGCACTTTGTAGGGGATGTGTTAAGATTAAAGTCTCTTTATTCAAGAAGACACCAAAGGCAAAACACAGGCCAGAGCTAGGTTTTAGAACCCAGCAAGCACTGCCAGAACAAAAAGGGGGTCCCCACGTGCAGCCCCTTAAGAAGCTCCCTTACGTCACCCCGGCTTTCCTTCACTATGCCCTTATGGGCGAGTCCGGGGTCCACTTGGTACCTGTCCCAGGACTATTGGGCAGGGCTAGGGTGTCTCCCTACAGGGATGGGTCCTCAGAGCTGTGGAACTGAAATATTAAGGACTCTGTTCCCCTTTCTAATGAAGTTAAGTTAGTCCTCAGACTCACTGTGAAAGAAATATTTCAGCACCAAGGGGCATGCGGTGAACCTAAAATCCTTAAGGCCAGCCTAAGTCCTCAAGATCAGCCACAGCTAACAGCCCCTGTAGCTGAGAGCTTATGGCAAATACATGTTTGTCTTTGTGCCTTTTACATACAGACCATGTGTGACGTTCAGCAACCTTTTCTTCCATTTAACAGTATATGGCTAAACATCTCTTTGTCCATACTCATTGAGATTATCCCCATCATTGTTAATTGCATCCTATCCAGTTCAGCTTAATTAAATTCCATGTTGTAAGGCACATAACTATTGTATGTGCTTAGAAACTTTTTATTATAAGAGATTTGTCAGCAAACATGCCTATGTACTTTTGATTTAAACACAGCACACATTGTAGGCTAAATTCTCAGATTCAGAATTATCCGGATAAATGATATGCATATTTAAATTTTTAGTTGTTCTTTCAAAATGACCACATAAAAAGGCTATACAAGTAACATTTCCACCAAGAATATCTGAGTGTTTGCTGTACTAGCTATATCCTCTGGTCTTCAGCATTATTAGACATTGAAATTGTGGCCATAATTTTGATGTTTATTAGCTTTAACAATTATGATTGAAGCATATTCATTTATAATTACTAATCACTTGTATTTACTTTCTGTAAACTGCCCATTTTCCACATGTCTTCCTTTTTATTCATAACGGTTTTTGTTGCAGAATAGTGAAGTTTGATATTTGTATGTCAGATTATAGCAATTTTAATTCCATTACCTACAAAATGAACTATTTCCTCTAGTAGTTTTATGGTCTATCTATGTATTTATGTATCTATCTATGTATCTATGTATCTATCTATCTATGTATCTATCTATCTATCTATCTATCTATCTATCTATCTATCTATCTATCTATCTATCTATCTATGTATATATCTATCTACATACAGGCTCTGTAGCCTAGGCTGATTTCTAAGTACATAGCTGAGAATGACCTTGAATGTGTGTGTGTGAGAGAGAGAGGGGGGATCTGTGTGGCTTATTTACACATGTGTGCAGATGTGTTCACTTATGCTTATGCAGACCAGAGACTTTCGGATCAGATGTCCAACTTTTACAGTCTTTGCTTTATTCACTCAAGACAGAGATTCTCATTGAACATGCAGCTAACCTGGGAGCTGGTTGGCTCCAACAGTCCTGTCTCCATCTCCCCACAGTATTGGAAGCAAGTACATGACCATAACCAGTTGTTCTCCATGGGTTCTGGGAATTGGAACTCAGGTCTTCATGCTTGCTCAGCCAGCCCTACCCATGGAGCCATTTCTTCAGCCCTGATCACCTATTGTTTTCCTCAACTTCTTATCTAATGCTTTAAAACATGACACTATGTAAATTCCCTGTGTGATGCTAAGGTACACTTCCACCCTTGCTGGCTTTGCTGCTGGTACTAATCAAGGATCATGTTCCTTCCACCCCTGCCTTCTTCATGTGCACAGTTTGGTCATGTTTCAGCTCAACTCTGACCTATACATCCTCTATCATTATTGGAATTTACACAGCTTTATATTTAAAAAAATTGCCAGTGCAATTCAATCATACAGAATAATAGGTTTTTTGTTTTGTTGAGACTGGGTTTCTCTGTGAAACAGTCCTGACTATTTTGGAACTCTCTCTGTAGGCCAGGCTGGCCTTGAACTCACAGAATTCCACCCACCTCTGCCTTATAAATGCTGGGATTAAAGGTATGCACCACCACCAACCACCAAGCTAGGTTTTATTGTGAAATATTGGATCATATTTCAACATGCTTTGCTATCTCATCCTCTTTCCTTAGTTATCCTTTTTATTTCTCTAATTCATAACTGACAAAACTCTGAAGTGACCTTTGGTTGTGAGTTTACATTTGACAGCTATGTCACCTAGATTTTTTTAAAAAAAGTATTCGTCCTCAAAATAGATCTCCAAAGAATTCAAGGAGTCTCCTGGGCACTCAGCAAGGACAAAGATAAAGATCCCAGTTCTCCTATAGCTTATGTGGGGTGAGAGGGAAGGGACAATGGCAAGTAAACTGGCTATATAATAATGTCCCACGAGTGCACTGAAGAGAATAAATGTGAATAAGAGTTGCAGGGTAAGGGGGATGGTGGATAAGCCATAGCAGTTTGGGGAAGATTCTCAGCTCAGTGTTAAATTCATTAGGCCCTAGCTTATCATACCAAATTTCCTTCTAAGTGGCTTGACCTTAATTGGGTCAGTGTCTAAAATAGTTTGACGTCTTTCCTTTAAAATCTGCTCCCTCTTGTCTCTGTTGTTTCAGCTGGCCTTGCCATCTTGCTTCCCAGCTGCTTGATATGAAACTTTCAGGGCAATTTGCCTCCATCCTTTCCTGTAAGGTCCTCCAAAGCTTCATACCATGGCTCCATGATATGTGCTTGAAGCCTTCCACAATTCCTGTGTACATCTGTATGAGTGTACATGTTCCTGTGTGTGCAGGTACACATGGGGGCTAGAGGTCAATGGCAGATGGCTGTTCCTCAGGAGCCATTCATCATCTTTTTTGAGAGACAGTCTCTCTGGAGCTTGCCACTTATTCTAGGCTGGATGGTGGAAAAACCCCAGCAGTCCTCCTGGCTCCACTTCTCCTGTGATGAGATTACATGGGTGAACC